TCGCTGGCCTGGTCATGCTTCAAATTCTGAATTCTCCAATTCGCTGTGCTGCACATGCATACATCGTGTTGAGCACGTCATTCAGGCAACATGCAAACAAATTCATGGCATCATGCATTCAATTCATCACCAATTCATCAATTCATCAATGTACATGCATGCAATAGGCCGGGGCGCTACACTCCGCAAAAACTGCGATGCGTGCAGCCCAGAATTCCCAAAAAAACATGCAGCGTCCATGACTTGGGTGACGGGGTGACTGCAGGCCGAAAAGCAACACAAGCTAAATACAGTATGGAGGGCGGGGCCTTAAGTAACATAAGCTGCAGGCACCCAAAATTCAGGACTTTACACGCCACCTCCTACAAGCTGTGCGATGACGCTTCTTGGGATGCAGAGAACTCTACCGTCTGGCAGTGTCACTGGCGTCAGGGCCGGCATCTGTCTTGGCATGGTCATCGGGAGCTGCGAGTCCAGGTGCAGCAAAGTTGGGCCTTGTGTCGGGTCCGTAGGGGCGGGCTGCGGCGGAGGCGTCCATGGGCCCTGCTGTCCTTGGCCTCCTGCCGGTGGCGGCGAGCTCCCACCACTGGCGCCATCTCCGCGGTTGGCGGGGACCAGTGCTTCAACAGCCTGCCGGACTTGATCCACATTCTGGAGCACCTCATCCAACTTGTCACGTAGGATGACGAGCCGGTCGGGTAGGTGGTCCGCCGACTTGTTGATCTGTCCCACTAGGTTTAGGGTTTAGGGGTTTAGGGTTGAGGGGTTTAGGGTTAGGGTTTAGGGTTTATGGTTTAGGATTAGGCGCCTTAAGGGGGTTCCTTTAAGGGGTCCCCTTAAGGGTTCTATAAGGGCTATAAGGGTTTAGGGTGTAGGGGCCTGAACAATTCGAGTAGGGTTTTGAGCGTTTATTGTACTATAATTATAATGAGGAACCCGCAAAATATGATAGGATAATTATTTCGCTTCTATACTATACTGTACATATAGTAAGAAACCATTTTAGGATAGTATTTCCAATTAACTGTACATCTAGTAAGAAACCGTCTTGGAATAGTTCCAATTAGCCAGTCTTCTCCATTAAAAGCTTTTTCGCCCACAGTCAAGGGTGGGGTTTAGGGTTTTTGGACTGTTGCTGGTTCAGGATCTAGGGAGGCTCCTGCTTCAAAAACCGTGGCAGATAGGGTTTGGGGTTTAGGGTTTAGGGTTTAGATATGGACAGCCCCCCCCCCCCCTTGTGGCAAGATCCTTACGACCGAAGCTTGCGAAGGAAAGCCGACAGGGACCTGTAACTTTGTCGTAGCTTGCAGTCTGGAAGCTTCCTGAATGTCTTCCCGAAGAATTACCCAGAGAGCCCCATACCCCTTAACTAAGGAATATACCTTGAATTATAGGGGCCTTCATATTATGATTTAAGGTATAATCTTTAATTCAGGGGTATCGGGTTCCCAGCAGCAACAAAGATGGTCCCTGCATGTACCCCTCTACCAGTGATACTTTGATAGGAAAGAAATGGCAACTTTCAGGTATGTTTCAACTCGAAACATGACGACTCTTCTGATCTCTGTTATCACGTCTTGTGCTTGCCGCATCCGAGCATCGACATACGAACCCCATGCTGTTGTCTTAGGGGCTGAGTACCCTAGCCCAAAAAAGGTTAACCTTTTCAATTATGGTGGGATTATATAAACCTAAACCCTAAACCCTAAACCCCAAAAGGTTGAAGGCTACCTGCTGAGCCACTAAGGTTAGTTTTTGTTTTCCAGTCTCGCCTCTGATGGTGGATTGCGCTGGGCATCCGTGGCTGAGCCATTCGGAGCCGGCGGCTTATCGCTACGCACCTGAACTGCGGACACCCTAAACCCTAAACCCTAAAGCCCTAAACCGTACAGCTCTCTTTGATCAGTGAGCTGGTCTACCAGTGCATGGGGCTTTGGGTTTAGGCTTTCGGGTTCAAGGCTCAGGGTTTAGGTTGAACATGGTGAACAACTCTTGTTAATAGTCTGCGTAATACTACAAGCACAAAACATCCTAAAGCATCCTACAATATAACATACCATAATATAGTATAAAGTGACAGCATGCTATAAAAATATACTACCATATAAGGCTCGATGTCCCAAGCTCAGGCGACTTCCTAAGTGCAGCGCTCAGGCTCATCCTCACCCTGCCTGTGCCTCGCCTGGGGCTGCGGATGGCTGGCCGGTGGCCCCTAAAGCCTGAAACGCTTTCTTGTCACTGTTCACGGTCTAGGATTTAGGGATTAGGGTTTAGGGGAATAGGATTGAGGAATTAGGGTTTGGGTACAGTATGGCTAGCACAAGGTACCTTGAAACCCTAAGGAAGCTCCCACATCAGGCTCTAGTCGTAGTCTTCGCCCAGCGGTGGGGCGTCATCTGCCACAGGCAAGATCACCACGCCGTTAGAGGGCTTGAACTCGGAGAGGCCTTCGTAGGTTTGCATCTGGGTTAATTAAAGGCTGTAAGGATTCAGAACACAAGCATTTGGGGTTTAAGAAGCTCTTTTGAGCTCGCTAGGGTTTAGGGCTCCTGTAGGCCTTACAAGGTTTAGGGTTTTCGGGGTCTAGACAAACATACATGTATATATATATATATATACATATACATATATATATATATATATATGTGCTCTCTCTCTCTCTCTATAAATATATATATATATATATATATATATATACACATGTATATAGTGTCTAAGTTTTACAGGTTTCAGTGTGATCAAGGTACAAGGCTCGTGCCTTGCTTGTCTTGTACACGGACGGTGAAAGGCTGCTCCATGTCCAGCAGGGTGTTTAGCTGGTCGATCTTCTCACAGATCAGAAGCAGCTCCTCCTCGCTGATAGCGCCACCCATACGTCGATTTTTCTGTACCTTCGGTGTTGAAGTCCGAAGTTTCAGGTGGATAGTGTATATTGTAGAAGTGTATATCAACAAATACACAATTGATTGAATAAACAATACACCATAGTACTTATATATACTTATATATACATATTTATGAATATATGAACAAAAAATGAGTTAAATGTATATATATAAATATGTATGTATGTGCATGTATGGCTCGTTGACAGAAAATCCAAACACTTGTACTTTCTGGCTCCCTTGAATTTTCAATCCTGTTACCTGTTATGCAAGTTGAGCTGTCTTACACGCAATTACTGAACTTCGCGAGAGATCAAGAAGAATGCTCACTAAGAATAAGGCACCGTAGATGCTAGGGCTAGGTTCTTACAAGGGGCCACCAACCCCGAAGAAAAATACAACCTAGATAAGACGACACAAGACCCGAGTCATGCCCGTATACCTTCGAGACATTGCTACTGAGCTAGCTCCTAGACCCCCAACCCTTGAACCCTCAACACTCTGCGGAGCTACATGGTCGCCCAAATTGAAGACAGCAGAAGCTATCAAGTTGTAAACTGTGTCGACACATCGTCGGTTCTTCGGCTGAAACAAGAACTCAATCTCCGGGATCTCGACCTGTGCTGGGGCTTATGGCTTAAAGGAAGGTAGGGTGGATTATAAGGTTGAGCGTGTAGTTTTTAGGGCTTAAGGTCTCGGATGTATACCCTACTTCCTTTTTCAGCACGGGGTGCCGGCCAGCGCCCATGCAACCCTCACCCCGTCTTCCTAAACCCCTCACCCTAAACCCTATACCGCATCGGTCTACTATTGGGTGTCCCCACCTGTGCTCTTGGCCCGAGCAGTACCACCCGCCAGAGGTCCTCGCGCTCTGAGACCGTGAAGGTGAGGGACTGGCCCATGCCCGGTCGGAGATCATCCTAGAACCGGCTTCTAGAGCTCGGCTGGCTTGTTTCGTTGAAATATGTGCTGGGTGTTGTATGTTGATGTTTGAAGGGATTTGCGTATGGGTTCGCTGAGGCATTTAGAAGGGCGTCGGCTTTAGGGCTAAGCTTCAAGCTGCAGAGTTCAAAGATTCAAGTCGCTTGAAAGGTACACTTGACTTAATCCTTTTGCAACTGGCCTGCTGCGACTCCGCCCAGAGTTAGTGCACCCCAAACCCCTGAACCCAGTAAGTAGTTGGCATGTTTTCTCGCATCTCAGACCTTCCTTGTACGACTGTTAATGATATAAACCCTGCATTGTTTGAAGCACCCTAAACTATGGGACCCTAAACCCTAAACCCCCAGTTACGGTACTATATTCCTTATGATGGGTAAGTGCAGGATTTATATCATCAACCCTAGGATCCCCAGGAACCCGGGAATCCAAGCCCTGCCCTGTTTGAGGTTGGGCCGTTTTCTTAGGGGTTTAGGGTTTAGGGTTTAGGGTTTAGGGTTTAGAGTTTAGGGTTAGCCCAAAAAAGGTTAACCTTTTGAATTATAGTAGGATGATATAAGCCCCAAAAGGTTAAAGGTTACCTACTCAGCCCCTCAGTCTTTTTATGGGGGGGACCCTAAACCCTTTTTTGAACGAGGTCTCTCTGAAGTGCCTCTACCATACAACCCTAGGACCACAAAAAGGGGGGAACACGGGCCCACTTGGAGACTCTAAGCCCGAAGCTTCCGAAGCCCTTAAAAGGCTATAGAGGGTTTAGGGTTTAGGGTTTAGGGTTTAGGTTTAGGGTTTAGGGTTTAGGGTTTAGGGTTTAGGGTTTAGTGCAAGGCTATAGATTCCTTAGAGCTTCCTCAACCCTAAGCGCTTATGAGGCTATAGATTCCTTAAAACTTCTTAAACGCTAAGCCCTTATAAGGCTATAGATTCCTGAAGCCTTCCGAAACCCTAAACCCTTATAAAGTTATAGATTCCTTGCAGTACCGTGAAAAGGCTTTGTGTACGGATTATAGACTCCTTATAGTGCCCTTAAAGGAGCCCTTTATAGGTGCATGCATAGCTTAGCCTACCAAGTACCTCGATCCTTGCAGCAGCAGTTTGGGTGTCAGGGTGGGTGGTGGGTTTGGGGTTTTAGGAGGGTTTAGGGAGTCGAGGTCTGGGGTTTCAGGTTTCAGCACTCACAACAGTTCAGGGTTTAGGACTTAGGGAAGCAAGGTTTGGGGAGTCAAAACTATCCGGTAAGTGGTCGCTGGTCCTCCTTAGGCGCCGGTCTCATGAGAACGCGGATCTCTTCACCGGCTTCCTTGGGCGTTGTTGGTGCACCACGAACTTAAGAAACCACATTGTCTACTATAGGTCCCTATTCTGCTAATTTAGGAAGAAGTTGTTATCTATAGATCCCTATCGGGGTACGTAGTTGCGAGTTCATCAGCTGAAAAAAGTTTAAACTTGCAGCTCTATAACGGATAATATTACAACAAAGGCAAAGGTAAAAATTACTCATTCAGCTGCTAGTGATTGACAGTGAAAGGCAAGGCCTATTCAACTATTCCTGTGTAATCATGAAGACACAAATCACAAAATACTATGATGTAGCAGTTTCCTTATCACAAACAGAAGGTACATCTAACACAAAAGGATACGCAATGTGCTACATGCAGTATACATATACCAAGAATTATCGTGTGTGTTCACTCCAAGCGAACCTACAACCCAAACCTTACTTAAAGAAACAAGGGCCTTAGTAAGCAAGGTTATCAGTTACGTTATAATTAGGATTTCCCCGCTTAGAGTATACAAATATAAACCAAATTACAACCTTCTTTGCTAAGTGCCCTGAGCCCTCAAGTACTGCGTATTAACCCCCAAACCCTAAAAACCCTAAACCCAAACAGCGACCAAAGTTCCTGGGCACCCTCGGCAGGCCACTGCACCTCAAAATGCGGCAGCGCCGTCAAAAAGTCGACCAACGGGCCTCCAAGGGCCTGGTCGGAGGCTTCTTTCTTCCGGTTTAGGGGTTTAGGGCTTTAGGACTTTAGGGCTTTAGGGTTTAGGGTTTTGGGGCTTAGGGTTCAAAGGGCCTGATTTGAGGATTTTGTGTTCGGGTTTAGGGTTTACAGTAAGGTGTTAAGGGTTCGGCTTAAGGGATCCCTAATTCCAAGGGTTGTAGGGGGGTGTCAGGCTTACTCTCTCTCATACAAGCCCAAGAAACCCTAAACCTATATAAACCCAAAGCCCCACACCCTGAACCCCAAAGCCAACGCACCCCAAAGCCCACACCCTGAATTCAAGGAAACTACAGGTGGGGAGTTTAGGGTATATAGGGCTTCTAATAAGGCTTCTATAAGGTATATAGACCTTCTATAAGGCTCCTATAACGGTAGCTACCCACCCGACAATGTCCTAGACTGCCCGAAACCCTGCTTTGAGGGTTCAGGGGGAAGCCCATCGTCGTCGTTGGCCTCCTCCAGCTCATCCTCGTCCTTCAGGGGCTCTTTGTTCTGTTCGTTTAGAATGGTTTAGGGGGCTTGCTTAAGGCTTAGAAGGTTTAGAAGGATCTTTGGAGGATCCTCAGAAAAATCCAGCTTTGTCTATATAGGTTTGATGAGGGTGTTAAGGGATCCTCCTCGCCCTCCAGATAAGCACCGAAGGATCGCCATGTTTAACGGGTCGTGGGGCAGGTTTCAAGAGTTCATCCTCGTCCTTGGGGGCCGCAGGGTTCAGAGTTCGGGGTTACGGCTGAATTCTTCTGTCGGGGTTGTCTGCAAAGGGGTCCTCGTAGCCCAAGCTGACGCAGAGGTTGTAGGTGATGGCGGACAAGGCGACGGCATAGTCTTCTCTGATCCCAGCATGGATGGCATGAAAGATGTCTTCTAGCTCATTCACGAACTGAGCCATCTCCTGTTGCTAGACCTTAAGCCTTGTACTCTTGACCTTAAAACCCCTCAGCCCGAAACGCAAAACCCTGGTAAACCACTAACCCCAGATTACCCAGAGGCCCCATAGTAGTTCCTTTTTGGGATTACCTAATAGGATCCTGTATATAAACCACAAAAAGGAACTACTAAACCCTTAAACCCCTAAACCCCTAAACCCTAAACCCTAAACCCCTAAACCCTAAACCCTATAAACCCTCAACCCTAAACCCTAAAGAGGAACTACCATGGGGCCTATGGGTACGCCATGTCCTGGTGCGACATGTCGATGTGGAAACGCTCCTTTCCAGGCTCGGGGCCTGGATTTTCTTGCTTGCAAAGTGGGCAGGAGGCCTTGCGAAGCAGCCACTCGGAGACCTAGGCTTAGGGTTTTAGGGCTTTAGGGTTTTAGGGTTTAGGGTTTAGGGTTTAGGGTTTAGGGTTTAGGAGGTGTCCAGTGCAGAATCCCTCAACACGATGTCTAGTTATAACTATTTCTAGCAGAGGTCGGGTTCTACACTGGAGCATCAAGAAAGGGAGATCAGGGTTTAGAGTTTAGGGTTCCTAATACCGGGGCCTTGATAGTTAGATATAGGATACTACAGTTACAATGAGGAGCCCCAAAATAGTATAGGTAATTATTAAGGCCGCTATGATATCCCAAATCAATACCCAGAGTCGCACGCGTGGTGGAAGCGGTGACCGCAGGACAGCTTTTGCAGCTCGCAGGATTCGAGCATGGGCTGAAAGCAGATGGCACAATCCTCAAGGACAAAGGAAGGAATGTGCTTAGGGCTTAGTGTTTAGGGTTTACGGGTTAGGGGTTTAGGGTCATATCATATTCAGGGTTCTGTTAAACTTGAAGTAAGATATATTCCTGAATCTAAAAACCCTAAACCCTGTTTGCTTTCAGCACGGACCGAGGTGTCGGCCAGCGCCCATGCAACCCTTAGCCCGTCTTAAGGCAACCCTTAAAGCTAAACCCTAAACGGTTTGTAAGGGTCTGGGTTCAGGGTTCTGTTCAACTTGAAGTAAGATATATTCCCGAATTTAAAACCCTTAAAACCTAAACCCTAAACCCTAAACCCCTAAACCCTAAACCCTAAACCCCTAAACCCCAAACCCTTAACCCCTAAACCCCAAGGTCTGGGATCCTGGGGCAGCAAGCGACCCTAAAACAGTTTCATGCCTCGGGCCATGGAAGAGCTGCGGACTGGAATGTAGGGGCCTTAAATGATTAGAATAGGTTTTGTTGTTGTTTTTTTTTGGGGGGGGGCGCTCCTTTAAAGGGTTCCTTTAAAGGGCTCTATAAGGGCTACTATCAGAGTTTAGGGTTTAGGGGCCTTAATAATTAGAATCGGGTTTGGGCTCCTTTAGAATACAGAAGGAACCCCAAAAAATCGTGTAGGTAATTGTTTAGGTCTGCCTTAGATTATGAAGGCTGCTGTTGGGTGACCTGTAACCGGTACATAGGATACATTACGTTCTGAAGGGAACCCCAATACCCCCAAACCCTCGACCCTAAACCCTTTAGTCACCTTAGAGTACCCTTAAAGGAATCCTTGAAGGAACCCTGAAGGGTCCTGTGCTTCCTCTGGCGACGCCGCCAGCGTAGTGACCAGAGGCGCTGCTTGGGTCATGGCGTCGGCCATGCTTCTTCGGGGCCCCCCACCCGGAGCAAGCTCTTGGCCCCAGCTAAACTCTAAAGCTACTGGTTTTGATGGAGCAGAGCTCTGAAAATGTCTCGGCTGGACTCATGTCCTTGACAAGCAGACTCCACCCACATCCGACCATGGCGATAAAACCGCGTGAATGCTCCCTAAACCCTAAACCCCTTTTCCCTAAACCCTAAACCACTAGACCTTAAACCCTAAACCCTTATAAGTAGGGGTCTTGAGCTCTCTGGCAGGAAGGAGGAGGGAGGCCAAGGAGCAAGGCGTCCCTGAGCTTGGATCTCATCCAGTTTGGCAATGAGGCCCGGCATGACCTCGGGTTTAGGGTTAAGGTTTCAGGGTTTAGGGTTTAAATCAAGGATGGTAAATGCTTCAGGGATCGGGTCGTAAGCTTCGTGTAGCTAGTTTTAGTCGTTTCGGGCAGTTTCGGGTCGGGTTCATGGCCCAGGTTGTTCGCGGTGTATGCCTGTAAGTTTTGGATAACTGTGTGTTTCAGAGGCTCTACTCCAAGGATCAGGTAGCACTTAGATTCTCAACATCTAAGCAGAATAGCGCATCCCGTGATCCTCCAAGCAGACCCTCAGCAACAGGAGAGATAACTCTCGTGCTGCATCGGAGGCTTTCCGGTTCTAGTGGCGAGGGGTCGCATCTCTCTCTCCCTCTCTCTCTCTCTACCTAAGCAGCACATCAACTCCCCTAAACCACCCAAGCATTGGAGAAAGGAAGAGGCAGCATAATTGCTAACCACTATTTTGAAGGGTTCTTTATGTTATAAGTATAGCAGAACATGCCGCAGAACCCCCTAGTGGCCCCAATATGACATCCTCAAGCTTTGCATCCCCACAGCGATCGGAGCAATAGTATCTTAAGGGGGCCATGGGTATTTAGGGTTTAGCGCTGAGGGCTTTAGGGTTTAGGGTATATAGGGCATAGGTATAGGAGTTCAGGCTATACGGTTTAGGGGGTTAGGGTATAGGGTGTATACAAGGTTTAAGGACAATTAGCCGACTGCATAGGTAACTGGCCTCCGTGGGAAGTATCGGCAGCCAAAACGTGACCCCTTGAAGGAGCACCCACATAAGAGTAACCCGAAGCCCTTGTCCCTTACTCAACAAGGCCGTCACAAGTCGGAGAATACTAAAAACAGCCCGAGCAAGGGGACTTGTGAACTCGTGAAGATACACCTCTCGACATCTCTCGACCCTGAAGCTAGACCCAAACCTCAAAGCCCTAAGACTGCCTAAAGGGGCCCTAGTTATAGGGTTTTGGGGTATATTGTACTATAATCAGAATGAGGAACCCCTGAAATGGTGTTGGTAGGCCTCTATAATACCCTCAACCCCTTGTAGAATCCTTTAAGGAACCCCAACCTCCTAAACCCTGAACCCGCGAAAATCTCAGAACCCTCCCTTACAGGAACCGTTTACAGGATCCCATAAATAAAGGAATCCTCTAAGGGACCCCCAAAAAATCCCTCAAAGCAGCCCTAAACTCAGCACAGCTGCCTCGTCACCGCGGAGCTCTGCGAAAATCTCAAGGAAATGTTCGAGCCACGTGGCAGATGCCTGCAAGGCTTGATCGCTTCCCTAGAGGCTTCCCTTAAACGTTCCTAAGGTTCCATATGGCCGTATGTGTTTATAGGATAGGTTACCGCCGCACCAACATCATCTGCTCATGGTTCAAGGAGCTCTGAATCTCTTACAGTAGTGGAAATGAAGGAAAACACAGTTTGAAGAAGTTGTCCACCTTCGGGTTCATGATGTTGGAGAAGTTGGTTGGTGCTGGTCGGGTTAATGCGACCACCCGCATGCAAGTACTCAGGAAACCGCAGGAATCAATCATATTTCATCGTACACGCATGACACACACACACACACGCGTATACGTATACACCTATACATACATATATATATATATATATATATATATATATTGTACCTATGTATGTATCTATGTATATGTATATGTATATACATGTATGTATATATATATATATATATTTATGTATGTATGTGTGTATGTATGTATGTATGTATGTATGTATGTATGTATGTATGTATACATAAATGTCTATCATGTGTGCATACACACACACACACACATATATATATATATATATACACACACACAACTATAGTACATACCCATTTCGCTTGCGTTTATACAGCTCGGACCATCATCTCCAACAGCCGGTCCGACTATCTAGATTTTTATGGAGTCCTCTAGTATGTAGCGTTTAGGGCTTTGCTGCTTTCCGCTCTGTCTATCATGAGTGCATCCTTAATGTAGATACACAACTAATTATTGCACATACTCATTTCGAAGCTCGTCCTGCTTCCGCTAGTATGTAGCGTTTAGGGCTTTTCGCTCTCGTGCACAAGTGAGGGATTTAGGGGGTTAGGGTTCAGGGATTTAGCCACCAAACTACCAAGCCAAACACCACAGCATATCACCACCCTTGGGCCCAAACGCAAGTCGGCGCTGGACAGCTGAATTAAATCCTACAGCACATTCTAACATACACAGACAGCCCGAAGCCCAAACAGCAAAAAACACAAAATAACCCTAAACCCTAAAAACAAACCCCAAATCCCGCAAAACGACGCACCTCGAAGTCAGTCTTGTTCCTCAGAAACTTTCCCGGTCCAGCTCTTACGAGGTCAATGAGGTTCTGACGGGTCAACCAACGGTCTAGGGCTTTGGACACAAGTTCGTTATGCAGGGTCTTCGGTCTTCATATGTTTTGATCTTTTTGATGCCCAGTTTGATGTGGTGCGTACGGCCAGGGCATCGCATCCCTTGGGGGGGGAATTTATGAGCCGGACAGTCTCGAAGGGCCCTGCCAACGGTCGAGTACTGCACTTGGGATTTTCCTGGACCACAAGGAACCTACCCTTTCAGGGCTCCTTATTATGATTTCCTTCTTTATGTTCTTTGGGACCAGGTTTTTGATTAGCGAAAAACATTGGATCCGTAGTGGCCTAGGAAGGGACCCTACCCATCCCTCTCCAAACCTGGCCTAATCCCTGAACTTATCTGAATGCCGTAATATGGGAGCCTTAATATCAATAATTAGAACAGGGTTTGGGGATGCACTACACCATAGCTATAGTAAAGAACCCCCAGAATAGTATTGCTAATTATTTAAGCCTCTCTACTATTGCAACCGCGAAATTGCAGACTCTCAACCCGAAGCCCTTTAGTGCAAGCCCTCTCAAGCAATCTTCATACGAAGCACTGAACAACCATAAAAACAAACCTATGAAGCGGCAGCAAACTTCCAAAGGAATCTCAAAAAGGCCCTCCTAAACCCTAAACCCCAAACCCTAAGCCGTAAACCCTAGAAATCTCAAAAAGGCCGACCCTAAACCCTAAACCCTTAAACCCTAGAAATCTCAAAGAGGCCCTCAAGCATCAGCACGTCTCAAGTCCCAGCAACTGCCGGAGGATGCGTGTCAAGGCCAGTTCTCCGAAGAGTGCCGGGTACAGCTGCCCTGCGCCGGACTTCTTCATACAGTAGAGTTTGGGCTGTAGGGGTAAACCTTAAACCCCTAAAACCAAAAAGCCCTTTTACACAGGCTTGATTGGAGCTCGCCTGGCCAATGTCCAAAAAGCCCTAAACCCTAAACCTCTAGCTCGAATTGGGTTTCGGGTCTAATATAGGGGCCTAAATAATTACCTATACTATATATATATATATATATGTATATATTTGGGGGGGTCCGAAAAATAGTTATAGTATCATGGGCCCCAAAGCCCTATTCTAGTTATTAAGGCCCCTATATTGTAGGGTTTGGGTGTGCAGGGGATCCAGGGCTCATAGGGCCCCAGATCTCGAGCTGTGGTGCTTACGGATTTTATACGGCTCCCAAACTCCTAGGTAGCCTTAGGGAGACGCCTAGAAGGGGACCCTTCTTAACCCTACTTATGCCTCTCTTAAAAGGGCCCTTATTGAGACCCCAAGAGTCCCCCTAATCCTAAACCCCTAATCCCTAAACGCTTTTTTCACAAGGGACTCGTCTGCTGCCCTTGCTGCCCAGCTTGACCCACAGACAGTACTCATGACTGTGATGCGAGACCTAAACCCTAAACCCTATATCCCTAAACCCTAAACCCCTCAACCCTATCTCCTACTTCGGCCCCCTAATCCTAACCGGTCCTAACTTCTACAAACTAGGGCTTGCAAGAGGATCATTGAAGGAAGGAGTGAAGGCTTGGGGATGCATACTAATGCGAACGCCTGAACACACGTGCCCCTTCAAAACCCTAAACCCTGTTCAAGGTAGGGGCCTTAGGGTTAAGGAGTTTGGGGTTTAGGGTTCTAGGGTTCTGGGGTTTAGGGTTTAGCCCTACAGCCTAAACTCTACAGTATCGGACACATAAGAACCCTTTCGAAACACCCGAAATGCCAAGCCCCACCCTAACGAAGAAGAGCCCTATTGCCGGCCTACCCACGGACTTTTACCGTAAATAATTTGCAACTAATACGAAGCCCCCGAAGTTGTTTTACATTGTTAATGCTCTCCGGGTATCTTCAATCAGATCAAGGCTCACTGAAAATCCAGGAAGGTTCGTTGAGCCTACGATCCTTTTAAGTTTAGGGCATAGGGTTCAGAATTTTACGGTTGAGGGTTTAGGATTTAGATTTTACCCTTAACCCCAAAGCCTAAACCCTCAACCTACAGAAAGTTACACAAGTCTCCAAAGCCCTGAAAGTAATGACCTCACTGAACGGTGTACGCTGGGCTCTGTGGAATTCCGTTGAATTCTTAACAAAAACGGAAGACCTATCAAGAGCCTGCCCCAATCACCCAAAAATACGAACTTTCTGTGCGAAAATGCCCTCAACAAGAGCAAGCCGTTTCCAAGGCCGTATTACAGATCTTCTGATGCCAGCATAGAATTTCACAAAGAACCTATCTCTCCTACACCCTCGTGGCGAAAAACTGAACCCAAAAGGCCCCTGAACTATACCAGCA